ATGAGATGCATCAATATCAGTGCTACAGCATATGTGGAGGAAAATAAGTCCAATTTATTGGTTGCACTGGATGTTGATGATGAATGAAAACCAAGACAAAAAAATAATTTAATGCAATAAGCATGCAATTAAGTAGTGGTTGAAATACATAGCAGTATCAATGAAGGCGTACTTGACAGAGATGTATGGGTAAATGTGACAGCAAAGTTTGGGAATCACTGTTCTAATCAGAGTTATGGTTGCTGAATAGAAATGACATGGCAATGTTTGTAATTAGTAACATAACCCACTGGATTACAAAAAATCTAATCTTGCTAGCCCTGGTTATAATCTACTGTATTTACTAAATGATAGCATTTTAATGGGGTCATCCTGTCTGTTTAAACGCAGAACAGTTCATATTACTTTTGAAGAGCATAAAGTAAAACACTGATAAAATGTTGTCTTGTATCTGGCCCTGAAACTTGTACAATTCCACATTTGAGCAAAAGGGGGCGCAGTGAGCAGCTGTAAAACACACCATCCCCTGTACACAAAGGGAACTTCAGCAGACTGTAGCCTTGAAATCTATAGTGACAGCTGCTTTCAAAGTATACAGGATGAGCGTTCAACTAATGTCTTTATTGGATTTTGTGAAGAGTTGACATTTCTATGCAGTGGTCTGCTCTTTCTCCTGCTTAAACTTTCACACCAGCTGAACAGGTAAAATTCACATACAATTGCCTGAAGAGCTGGCGTGCTCCATAGCTGAGTGTACTATGTTAAGTGGCATGCACTTCAGACAATGTTACTCTGCTGTCCAATAAAGCAGAGATGTCCATTACAACTTTTGAAAATCCCTTAAGAGCTGCTTCTAAAGACTGGTTGTGATTAATTATTCATCTACCTTAGTGCATGTTTTAAGTTCAATGTGTTATTTATTTATATCCCAGGTGAAGTGTCAAATCCCTTGTTTGTGTGTACTTGTCAGTTAAGTGGATGTATCTTATTTAGTTGGATTTCCTTGACTGACTGGAGTTCTCGCTTGGTTTTCTGCTCAGGAAGGGTTAAAGACTGCCATTTTTTTAACAGGAAAATATTTCACAATAGGTGACAGAGATGTATCTTGTCATATCACGTTTCTAATATTTAATTTGGCACCAAAAGAGAGAGTTTCTTAATTTGTTAAAGAATTGCATTGGCTTTTAATATGTGAGTCATTTAATCTCAGGTTTAAACAGCATGTCTCCATTTCTCAGGGCTCTTCCCATACAGACAACACCTGGTACACTTTATTGTCCCTGAGTGTATACTGTTCACACTTCCTACAAAGAACACAGGTACATCTCTAGGGAGTAACCCAACCCTAGAAGAATCTGCTCCTCCTTTGGGAGCAGTTCTTTATTATTCCTCAAGCACGTCATGGCATTACTGCACTACACACACAAACACACACCCACAAACAATAGTATGTATTCTCATTGTGTAACAGATCATTCAAACAAAGGCTCTGGCAGACAGGCAACTACGTGGCTGACTTTTCCTACTTACATTGGTCCTTTTCAAACACTGAAAAGTCTAACCTGGAGCTTTCCATAGAGTATGTAGCGCCATTCATCAACCCACTATAAGAGTGAGTAGGTGTATACCTGTAAATACATGCAGAGACAAAAGAGAGAGAGAGAATAAAGACGGGAACAAGTATATGCTTGTGTGTATGCATATGAGTATATGCATGCACTTCTGTTAGCTCAGCTACTTTATTATTAAATGAGAAAGTTTGAATCAAAAGTGACACACACTGAATGCATATAATCTGCATAAAAAATGATTGCAAACTAAAACTCTTCATTCCTGTCTCCATTCAAATATCAAAGTCCATTCACCACCAGACGCTGTCTCTTCATTTCTATGCATCCAGGCCATGAATGTAATGCTAGCCTCCTGGCACACATGGCAGCCTACCTCTCTGTCTCTTTGTTTGGTATACATGTGACAAGGGCACAATGGAGTGCTGGACAATAGGCCACTTATTGAGTGACTGGCAGGGAGTGGGATACATCCCAGATCGTCTGTCACTCTGCAGCCTCGTGCACCCTACCACTCATGGTCGGTGTCAGGTTGCACTCTCCTGTGGCGAATAGGAGAAGGTGCTTGCTACCTTATTGGAAATCTGGGAGAGGTCACAGAGGTCAAGATGATTAAAACGTACACTAAAAATAGAGGGGTGGAGTTAACTGGGTGTTTATGTACTTTGTTAATGTTGACTTAATGCTTTTTTTTAGCAACAGTATCTTGGTTTATTTTATTGTTTTTCTTTATTTTAAGTTTCATATAGTAGTAACAGGTCATGTCAAGGAAATTGTTAAACCTCCCAAGTGCTTTAAAATGGTCAAATATTTGACAGAGCCTTAGAGAGCCAATTGAGTTTAGCAGCTTATAGTGAATTAGCAATAACTGAATTGTGTCATGAGTAAATAAACATCATCAGCATGTTTTCTAGTACTACTCCATGATGGTGTGTATGTTTCTGGTAGTGTGTGTGTGTGTGTGTGTGTGTGTATGTGTGTGAAAACAGTTGCTATCAGCAGCTAAGATTTTCCACCTTGTCACTGTCAGCTGACTATCAGTCATTGCCTTCAGCTGAGCTGATTCTCCCTGAGATCTCGAGCTCTCCATGTCAAATGCCTGCCATGACCTTCTGGCATGCTGACAGCAGCTTTTGGAGAAAAGTCTGAGGTTTCATTTGAAATTAAATGTAAAGATGCTATGGTATTCCCAGCATGTGATATCAAACATATGACTGAGCTCATAAAATAAACAATAACCACCAGTGTTTGAAAAAAAGCATCATCAAATACTTGAATAGTAGATGTATTCATTTTGCTCATCTCAATAAGACAACTTTATATATGTGTATATAATGTTTTTCTTCCATGCCTGATATTGTATATAATAGATGCTCATAATAGTATTGTAGTTTTCGTTATGTTCTTATACTTAAGTAAAGGTGGTAATACTAGAATTTATTATATTAATATTAAAGTACTATATTGCAAATAACAGTCCTGCATTCAAAAGTGTACTCAAGCTTAATAAAAACAACATAAGAAGGCAAGAATAAGGAAAAATGTAGGCTACTTCAAAGTCTTAGTATTCATTATGCAACAGAAGGGCCCATGTCAGTGTTTCTTTATTATCCACACTTTATCCATGATGCATTCACAGGCTGAATTTTAATGTTGTAGCAAGTGAAGTTGGAGCTAATTCTACTACTTTATATACTGTTGGGTTGTTTAACGTATACAACAGTGCATCATATTTAATACACTTTTATATTTTTACTTAAAATCTTCATCTGCAAAGCAACAACTACAGCTGCCACCCATAGTAAAAGTAAAAAATACAATAGCAACCCTTGAAATGTAGTGGAAAAATGTAAATACTCAAGTAAATTACAAGTGCTTCTAAATTATACTTAAGTACACTACTTGACAAGTTCTGCTAGTATTGCTACTTACTTTGTGAGTGAGGTTGGGTTAAGAAATTTGCATATTGTGTTGCATATTTAGAGTAAAACTATATACATAAAGAAACACCAATATATAGATATATGTAACTATTTATCCAAACACACATTACTTTATGCACTGTGCATTCTCACGCCCTAGCACTGCCAGTGAACTTGTAATTCAGTCACTGTGTGCTCTGCTCCTCTCTTATTTTTGCATGAGTAGCTTACAAACTGCTCCATTTTTGAACTTCTCTCTCTCTCTCTCTCTNNTTCTCTTAATTGTGATTTTCTCTACCTTTCTCTGGTCTGTACAGCACTTAAGTTGACAAGGATTGTTTTTTTAAATGTGCTTAATAAATACATTTGATTTGATTTTGAGAGTGAACCAGTTTAAATGTAAGAATTTGCTGCTTGTCCTTGCCTGACATTACAGTAAACGGAATATTTTTAGGTTTTTGTTGCTTTATGGCTGGTGAACTGAATTCTGCGTGTGGCGCCCGGGGACCAACTCCAGATCTGAGCCAGTATCTTGGTCAAGGGCACTTGGACTAGACTAGTTTTTAATTTATTGTTATTTGACTTTTTCATCATTTTATTGCTGTATATTATTTTTAAACATGTCTAATTATATGTTTTATTTGACTTTTTTTGTCATTTTACTGTTACTATTGTGGCTTCTTTTACATATTGTATATCCTAAAACTCAGAATTATGTTCATTTTTGTGAAGAAAACTAAATTGCATTGTTACTTTTGATGTAATTGTTTATTTATAATAATTATTTAAGATCTAAACTTTGAAGACTTGAACACAAGCTATATATAACAAACAAAAACAGTCTCATCCTGCATTAGAAAAGCCAAAAAGCTAACACAACAAAGAGAAGAAAACACTTAATACGGACAGATTATTGTATAAAAAGTTCTTAAACACATCAGGAAAACTATGATCAATACTAACAGGTAATAATCTAATGCTAATTTTACACAAACTTCCTGCACTTATTGTGTTCACTGGTTTATTATACAGTTCATTCTGCACTCTTATTGTTTTGCATTGAATATAATATGAAACAGCCCTGAAACATGTCACAGTCAGCTTACTCAGTGGCAGAAAAGGGGGCCCTTGAGGAACCACTTCTAGAGTATCGATCACACAACATGATCACATTTATGAGTGTATTGACTGTGTGCGCCCTGTCTACCTGCTGCTGGGGCCCCCACCTCACACACAGCACCAGGGTCAGGTCAGTGTGCAGGAGCTGTCTCACACTCACACACTCATGCAGGACAGCAATACCTGTATTTGATGCTTGAACACACCGTCGCCGAGCTCACAAGTAAGGCCTCTTCATCATCATCATCATCATCATCATCATCATCTTCTCTACCATCCGGTGGTGCTGCAGCTGATCAGCTGAGCTGCTGCTGCTGGAGCTCTCTCTCTCCCCCCCTCCCTCTCTCTCCCTCGCTCTGTCGCTCTCTCTCCCTCTGAAGGTGGGGGCAGAGAGCTATTAGCTGTGCGCTGCAAACATCATTAGGAGGGGAGACGCTTTCCACCGTCAGCGCCGGAGCAGAGCAGGGGAGCCCTGGCAACAAGGAGAGACACAAACTCAGCAGCCCGTTACACCCTACAGTAAGTCACACAAAACTGTTCATTCAATACTCGCTTCACCAACCTGTCATTGCTTTTCACCCATGCCACTTTTATCCTCTTCTGGAACTGTGAAGAGAAAATGGCTGGAAGAACTGGGCAGGGTGGCGCTGACGCTCCGGTTTACTTCAAAGCCTTGGAAAATGTTTACTTCGCCCTCTGACCTATTTTTAAGTGATCAAACAGCACGGGGTCGTGCGGGGGTTTGGGGGTGTACACTTGTCATTTCGGGACGTAAATGCAAAGTAGTGTTTAAGTGGGGCGAAAGAGAGCGGAGGTTTGGCTGCATTCTGACCGAGCGAGGAGCGCGTCCGCCGGCCGAGCTGGTGTCGGGCAGGCGCTGCACTTCCAATAACTGCGCCACTCGACCTCGGCTCAAACATTTGCTCTTTTGCAGACTGTTTCTTAGCGCTTAACGCTGACATACACTGCCAAATAACGTCGCTATCAGCCGTACGTGTCTTCTTTTGAACTCTTCACTTACTGACAAGGACTGTCAAAGGCAAGCATTACATTTTTATCTACGTTTCACCATCGCGGAAGTGTTTTCTCTACACGAAAAAGAGACGAACAACTAACCACAGTCCACCTAATTTGTCCACTGTTCGCCAAACCCGTAGTTACATCTGCTTTTTGTGCACGTTGCGAGCGTTTGTTAAAGACATTGCGTATGTAATATGTTACTACACAGTGTTTTTACATTGCCAGCTGGTTGTAAAGGACATAGGGTTTGTGATTGCTGGACTACCCGTGATGTCATTCATCCTAGCTTGGACCATTATATAACGGGACTGTAGGGAAGCCTGTGATAGCAGTCTATTTTTACTCTGTTTACACCTCGGAGTTGCACTCAGGGTAGGCTATGCGTCCCGAGTGGTAGCCTATGCTTTCACTCGCATTATGAATTTAATATGGCATCCAAATGAGACCAAGTGGATGGACAAATGTACTGAAGATGACAAAATAAAAGAGAGAAAAAAAGCTGCGGTTCTCTCTCCCAACACCATCAGCTGCCTTCACACTTTCTTCCCCCCCCCCCCCCCCACCCCCCCCCCCCCTTTGTTATTGTTCCCCCTTTTTGATGGTGTGATGGTGAAATTATTGCAATTGCGAAAAAAAAAAAAAAAAAAAAAAAAGAAGTTAGTCTACTTGTTGATCTTGTTGATTGTGTGTCTTCCCATGTTTGGAGCATGGGTTGCTTTCCCTTGAGCAATGAATGAACGAGTCATCCTAGAGAGAGCTGTTAATAGTTATCTGAACCCAGCAGTATAGGAGATATAAACTATGATACATGTATACCCAGAATTGATCAGTTCAGTTGTACCTTATCAAACTGCTGCACAAAAAAAAGTTTGTAGGTAACTTGAAGCATACATAGTACGTCATAAAAACTCATATATGCACATTTAAAGTCTCAGGTGCTGCTTGTATGCACAGTACACTGTCACTGAAACTTCTTCATTGACCATTTGTACTTAATTATGTTGGTTTTATGTAGCAAAAGTTTGGTTTAAAATACATATACAGTATTTTATTTTATATCAGTATTTTTTGGATTATGCTGCTGGAGTAATTTAACAAGGTTTTACACAATAGCAACCTCAAACCCTATTCAGTTCTTTCAAAATTGAGTGCCTGCCAAGACAATATTTATATAATATTTAATAATTGATACAAGTGGCTCTTCTCGTGGATTTCTGACAGATGCTGTCTGTTTAGATACTAAAAAAAACTGCAGGTTCCTGATTCATTCACCGCAGCGTTGTGCCTTAGGAAACATTTGCAGTGTTTTATTGTGCATTGGAGCGCTTTAAAAATATGCCGTGATCATCTTCAACATTTGGTTTTGCTGTTGTTACAACGGGTCTCCAGTTAATATCATGTGAAAGAAATGGCTACCATTTTTTGAGGAAAAGTTTTTGCTGGTGAGTAACAGATGAATTGAAATGGTTCCTCGCTTTGGTCTTTTCCTGTAGAAACAGATAACACATTTGTCGTGACTTAAACGTGTTTAGCATTTCCCCCGTTTTTTTTTGTAAAAGAAGTGTCTGAGTGATGGCAACATTATTTGGCCGCTTTTGTTGTTTACCACTGGTGCACTTCTTTGGTTTCTGCTTGTGTTTTTTTCCTTCAGTATTAACATAATAGACAAAAGATGTCTAGTACAAGCTACACTACGTCATAGCACAAGAGTTTTCACTTAGCATAGATCTGTTTAGCTGTTCACTGATATCCCCCATTGACATTTCATATAGCCTCCTGAATAGTTATAGATGTATGTTTTGTATAAGCTAAGCAAAAATGTAACATTTTTTGTGAATAAAAATGATCTCTCACATTTAATGGTATACCTGGCTGATGTATTCACATATCAAAAGTGATCTTCCTTTAATGAGATGGATGGCCTATATATCGTCAAAGATGCAGCAACACAAAAATCTTACGCAAGGTACTTTCTTCCTCAATATCTACATGGTCTAGTAGTATATACCACAGTGTCAGAACAGCATAACATCAGTGACAACAACAGAGGTGGGGGGAAAGTACAGTACAGTAATCTTTTTTCAAACTCTATATTACAGTTTGAAGCTGCCAAGGGGCGTGACTGTTGTTGAGTATTTCTATGATAACCTGGGACAGGAAAGCAGAGAGGAAACTGGTCAGTATAGATATTTAGACCATGCTTCTTGTAGAGTTATAGTTCTTATTTTGTACAGTTCTCTGTGTTGTAAAGGCAGCAAGTCGGAAAACGGAGAGAGGTAGGGGTTAAATGGAAATTTATTGCTGAGCATCATCAACACTGTAACAAGGGATGGGATGTCTTGATGTCTAATGATGGGGAGGAGTTAGATGATAAAGGAAAGGGGACCCAGTGTTAATCCTTGTGGAATATCATAGATATTGTTAGTGCTGTGATAGATTTGCCTTGCAGATGTGAGTTAAGCTGAGTGGAAACAGTACATACCAAGTTTTTAGAAAGGAATTCTAGAGTTGGGATGTAACAAAAGTTAAACCCAGTCATTCCAGCACCAGGTCTTTCAGGATGGTTGCTGACAGCTAACACCTGCAAGTCTTGAGGGTGGTGAGTACATGACCAGAGAAGAGGTGTTAATACAAAGGGTGGAGAGTGAAGACAGACATGCTTCTACAAGATGGGTAAACAGAGGGTCTACTCAGTTTGGGTGGTACAGATTAGCCAGGTGGTGAGTTTATGAACATGTTCAAAATTGATATGATGAAATGCTAAAATATATAGTTATTTCAGGAGGAAAACTGTATATTTAGGGAACAGTAGTTCAAGGAGTTTGAGATTGGATAAAAAATGTAGTCATGTCTATAAAAGAAGCAGGTTCAATATTTTTCAGGTGTGTTAAAGCCGGGCCTTTGCCTTAGTTATGATGGTGAACACGAAGGCTTTTTCATAAGGAAACGGCAAACTACAGTGCTCTATTATGCGGTCATGCCACTGTGAATCAGGCGAGCTGTTCCACCCACGTACCACACGCACACACACACACCTACACACACGCACACAGGCTACTTACCACTGCCACCATAGCCTTTGATTCCAGCCGCCACTCACTTTCAAATGGTAATGAGAGGCAATTAGAAGCCAATGTGTCCTAATCACAAGCCATTTAACTGAGCTTGGCTCATTTGTCAGAGCCATATGTGCACAGCGACCCACACACTCAAACACACAATAATACACACATCTGCTAGATCATGCTAGAGTCTTGTCTTTGTCTCTGAAATTTGCTGCTTATGTAAGGGAAAAGAGGAAATCTGTGTGTGGTTGAGAGAGACAGCGAAAGATTTCCAGGTAATGACTGGGCGGAGGTTTCACAGCTGAATGAATAAGTGACAGAAAATGGCTTTATGCTCCAATCTGCAAATACAGGCAGAGTGAATGATGGGAAGGCGGGGCGAATGGATCAACCAATGGCTGAAACAGGTGTTTGTGTGTGACTGTGTATATTTGTAGAGAAATTAGTTGGAACAACAGTAGTTACGCTCAACATTTGCTTACAGAATAACTTTCACAAGTTACACACTGCAGGCAGAGGTGTAGTGAAGCATGAAAACCGAAATAGCATTTACCCATATCCCGTGAGATCTTTAGAGTCTACATGGGTGAGTAAACTTTTTCAGTCTGTGCTTGTTTTTTTTGGCATGCATTATCTTCTGCCAGATCAAGTCGTATGTCATATGAGCACAAATAAAAACAAACAAACCCTGCTCTGTACTGAAATCTGCAAACGCTTTAGGTGGTGTTGTAACCACCAACATAAAAATATGGATGTCACAGCTCCACTTCCTCCCACTATTCAAAAATGAATCCAAAATATCTCTGTTACCTCAGCTGCTATCTTGGATGCTGGTGAAATCATTTCGAGCCAGATTCTGCGCAGTAGCGATCGGGGTTTGGTGAGATTGAGTATTGATATCCTGCCCATAATCAAGCTGCCAATCATGATGCAAAACCCTGTTTTTATAGCTTCAAATAACAAATTAAAAACAAACTTATTAGAAAAATAAACACCTAAACACACATCAGCGTCATAAGAGCTACCTAAAATGAAAGAAACAGCAGGCTTTATGACCTATACTACAGTCAGTCACCATGAAAAACCAGAATGTTTTGGCTTCGCTTTTGGGGAGCTGTCATGTCGTCCATCTTTATACATGTCAATAGTGCAGACCAATAAGGCAGTGGTAACCTAACCTAACCTAAATAGCTATCCAAAAGTATATAAATCATCTATAAAATTATAATCTGTTGAATACAAGCAGCTATTTGCCTCTTGAGCCCTGGCTGCAAACTCCCATACACATAGTGCAAGTGTGCTGCAAGGAGCCATAACAAACACAGACACTTGTTATAATAATGTAAACATATCTAGAAAAATATTTAGCTGCTCTAACTCTGTCTTCAAAGATAACAGCACGCTGAAAAGAGACAAAGCAATGCACGCAAACAA